ACTCCGACAGGGGGGCAACAGTGTCGTTCTTGAGATAGAAACAATGTGAATGCCACCCCTTGTTGGAGGTCGACAGCCGCATTGACGGGTACTCGTCGACCCAATTGTTCCGGAGGTAGATGCCAGCATCCCATCGAGGTATTCAGCTCCTGCTTCTTCTCCCTCTTCTTCTGGAGGGTAACGGCGAAGAAGTGCCACCACGGATCAAAGTGGAGACTAATCCCTAAGAATCCCTTACATGGGAGATGAACGCCGCCATGAGCTGGATTCCGTTGGGATTGAGGTGCTGCAGCTTAATCTTGTAGTAGTGCAGTAGCCCCCGAAGAAATCCATCAGCAGAACAGGGATAGCGAACCCGTGCTCATGGAAGTGTGCAAACGACACCACGTAGCGGTCGGGCGACGACGGCATGTCCTCCTCGCCAGGCAGCAGCCAATCCTCGACCGCGGTCCGCGCGCAGAGAAGACCGCGACGGACGATGCCCTCCATGCGCTGGAACGTGATGTCAGAGCGGCACCACGGATCCATTGGAAGATGGGGGCGGGTGAACGCGAGCTCGACGACGGCTGGGACGCGGATGCAGGAAGCCTAGGCAACTGGCGGCGGAGGTTGCAGCTACGAAGGCAAGAAGGCAATGTATGAAACCCTAGGGACGAACCCTTTGGTTTTATTGGGGCGAGGATGCGAGGAAACCAACCGTCCGCCTAGATATCCACGCCCGCCACGATCTGCTATAACATCACGCCGCGAAATATGCGCACGCAATACCTATCCTTTCCATCGAAAGACGCGCCGGACGTTTCGCCTCCCCGGGCGGGCCACGACTTGTTACGAGTGAGAGGAATACGGATCAAAAACACCTCTATGGCCCGTCTGGGCCCAGGAGTTCGACGGTTGGCCCATCAACGGGTTCGACAACCGCACTAGGCACCCTTACGATGAGGGACGGAAAGGGATGGGCCTCGCAAGCAGCTAGTACCTAGGCGCACCAGCGCCACGAGCATCTTGGCCCATGATCGGGTCTTAGTCAGGCTGACCCTAGCCGGATCCCCGCGAACGGGATGCCGGGACCCAATCGAGCTATCCGGCTAACGAACCACCAAACCTCACGACCATACTCACGAAGGGTCCGATCTCGACAAGAAGGAATCACTGTTCCCAAGACACGCCGTGGGCGATAAAAGAAGGCTAGGGCCCTCAAAGTCCACCCTTTCGAAAAACCTCCGAAGGAGTATTCTACTCCTCCGCAGGCTCGGGGGCTACACCCACCGGGTGCGCTCGCGCACACCCACTGGCAAGTCAAAAAAGCCCCAAGTGATTCTACCCGAATCGCTCGGGGTCGAGGGCTACTGTCAGGGACAAATATTAGGGTACCCGAAGAGGAGCTACTAACCATCAACGTTGATTCATCCGAGTTGTTAAGAGCACAACTACACCTCTTCTTGGGCCCCGCCTCATCTGACCACCGAGGCCATGGGCTCCGCCTCATCCGACCCCCGAGGACTGGCTCCGCTTCGATGGACACTGAGGCGGCGGGCTCCGCCTCGACCGACCCCCGAGGGCCGACTCCACCTCAGCTGACTTCCAAGGGTTGGCTCCACCTTGTCTGACCCCCGAGGGTTGGCTCCGCCTCGCCCAACATCTAAGGGCAGGCTCCGCCTAACCTGACATCTGCAGGCCGACTCCGCCTAGCCCAACATTTGAGGATCGGCTCCGCCTCGCTCGACGTCCGAGGGCTGGCTCTGCCTCAGCTGACTCCCGAGGGTAGGCTCCGCCTCGGCCGACCCCCGAGGGTCGGCTCCGCCTCGGCCGACATCTAAGGGCTGGCTCCGCCTCGCCCAATCCCTCGACACGGTTCCTAACGGAAGCTCATGTCGCCACCAACCACTATGGGCCAGAAAGTACTACTCAAGGTCAAACTTCTAGTATCGTGCAGGGAGCGGTCACATCTCAACACGACCTGTCCCCACGACATGCCATTCCGGGGAACTCACATCGTCCACAGTGACGAACGCGTGGTCACTGTGTTGCCAACTCCCTGCCTGACCACCGTCCAACGTTAGTCAACCGACGTCAATTGACTGGCACTGTTCCGCCAACCCCCCGCATGGCCTTTGTCAAGGGACTCTCTGAGCATCCCATCCGCTCGAATGGGACGAAAGACAAGAATGACGCACGATGCCCGCACGTAAGCTGCAGCGGCCAACAAGACCCCGATATGACGCCGCAATCTACAGGGTCAAGCAGGACTCATGCGAGGAGGATGGCACACCTCCAGGAGCCTTATTTTCTCTTTCCTTTTTCTCTCTCCCCTTCGGTTGTAACCCCTGCTTTCCCTTGACCTATAAAAGGGAAAGCAGGGCGTCCCACTAAAGGGACATTGGTTCACCACACCGCATCAGACATCGAGCACCGAGCAACCAAACCTGAGACTTGGGAGCTATCTCCCTCTCTCGCCAGTTTGTAACCCCCTACTACAAACTCAGTGCTATTAACACGAGTAGCTCGAAACTAGATGTAGGGACATTCGGCCCGAACCAGTATAATCCTTGTGTCCTCTTAGCATACCATCCGGGTCCGACGCGCAATATACAAATTTACTAGCCGGTGCTTACTCGAAACATCGACACTGTGGAGCCAAAACAAAACATGGTAAGACAATGGGCTCTAATATGCTAGTTTATAGTTTCAATTATGTAAAAAAACAAAGAATAGTACAAAGAACATTCCTAACTGATCCTCCCCTCCACACAAACACACACACAAAAAAAAACACTAGTGATATAGACACATATACACTTAAAACTAGTTGCAAATGACAGATCCAAATTTTTATATGCAGAACATAACCAATGGGCCGACACTTGGGCTTAAAGCATATATTAATAAAAACTTGGGCTTAGAGCATATATTAAGAAAAACTCAAGCTCCATGTCAGTGCCAATCCAACTCCATATATTAATGAAACATAGAGAATACTTTTAAAATAGTAAAGACATCTATGAACGGGTTCCCACACTGATTCTTAAAACACAATCAGTATGTATCTGTAACCGTGTAACAATAGTACACATCAGAATGTTACCAGATCAAGAGTTCAAATGCTACACAGGCATCTGATTGCAAGCAGTCCAAGTGCTTTCATTTCTTAAGTGCTTAATTTCTGAAGCATTATTTTGGCCTTAAATCTTTACTAAATGAAGCCACGGCAATACTCAACCATGTCCACTTCCCAACTAGCATTACAGAACTTGTTGATGTTCTTTAAATATTTTTTCAAAAATACTAAAATTTACTTTGAAAAAGAGCGATAAATTAAAGGCCACCTAAGTATTTGCAATCATCTACAGAAAATGAAAGATTACGGGAGAAGGCAAAACTATGGAATCGAGATAGGTGACCTGCCAAACCATTCGCCTCATCTGTGCACATGCAGAGTATGAGGCGTGCACCTCTGATCTGCTACTCTATCATGCGACCAAGCAGTGACTACTTATGTCTGTATAAAATCATGGAATACTAAAGGAAGTATGACAGAAGACATTATTGTTAAGATATTTCAGTAATGTACCTGAACCATCAGTTTTTGGCAGGCTCCTTTATAGTGATTATAGGGAGTGAGAGAACTTACTATCATATAAATACAATATATATCTGTGTCCGGACAGGTCTTGGGAACTTAAATTTTGATGATATCTTTGCAGCGCCAAAAGACTCCTAACATAAAAGAAACTAAAGGGCGTACCCAGTGCAAAGAGCTCCCGCTCTGTGTGGGGTCTGGGGAAGGATGTCAGTGGCAAGCCTTACCCTCGCCTGTGCAATGCAAGGAGACCGCGACTCGAACCTGGACCTTTCCGGTCACAGGCGGTAAAACTCTACCGCTTGCACCAGGCCCGCCCTTCTCCTAACATAAAAGAAACTGACCAGGTTTAATCCTCACTACAATAAATTGTACTTAAGATCAAATGTTACAGTACTCCGGTCTGAAAAATAAAAGCAAGAGTAATATTCATTACATATATTAGAGCATTGATCTTTTTAGCATGTTACTACTATACTACTATGTAGTCCATACATTATCATATTCAATACATAAGAAGAGATTTTACATATATGTCTATGTCTTCAAATCATAGAATATAATACTTCATTGCTTCTCTACTGTGGCAAAGAAAATCTTTATGGCCTCCTACCTGATTTCCAACTAGTGTAAATCCATCTCATTGGACATTGCAGAAATAAGTCAAAAGAAGTGTTGTTACTGAAAAAAATCGGTCATCTTTTGCACCCAATAATCAGGGCTTGTTTTAGCGGTACTGAATATAGAAAACAGGTGTCTTGGTTACTAATGCAAGATTATATATGAGCTTTCAGCTAGGTACAATAAAGTAATCAGATTGTAAAGAACCAAAGACTTACTTTACTTGGGAAATAAAGAACTGTACCTCATGGTTAAACAATTAACCTATCATTATAAAAAATATCTATTAAAATCACATCTACAAATAAATTATGTAAGAGTTTTCTTCCATTCTCTATTAACATATACTAGTGTACAATGCAAGATTGTGAATCCAGGTAGGATGCACAGTGACACATGTTCAGTTACGAACTCTAAAAGCACCCCGTTCATCTTTGAACTTAATATAAAGAAATATTTGGCATGTGAATTGATAAAAAAAAATGTTGCCGCTGGGAACTACATCTGCAATGTTCAAGACCTAATTTTTATGTAAACAGCAGAGAATGGGCTGGGAGGGGGATGAACTCACATACATCTGTAACTCAACAAACCATGGGAGACAGGTGCTGTGCTGATGACGGGGAAAGTCGACGTTGTTGCAACCTTGGCCAGAGTGGATGAAGCAACAGCAGGCCGGAGCCACCAAGATCTCGTCTGGATCGGTACGGTGGTGCCATCGTTTCCCGCATCTCACCTGGGAACGCCGCTGCACAGGGCTTACATCTCCGCTGCTCTGAGCCTGCTGCACGGGTCGGAGATGGAGCGCCGCGCCACCGCATCGGAGAGGAAGTGCTCGACCGGATTGTTGTCTCTACAGCTACTCCTCGCTGCCGGCCGCGCCAGGTGTCCAGCCGCCCAGGCCGGCGGCCGCCCGCTTCCCAGGCTCCCACCCGCGGACCCGCCGCCACTCGTCGCCTCGAGCTCGAGGGCTAGGGTTAACCGCAGCCACTTGCCAGTCTTCTCTGTCGAGGAATCACCGAATCGAGCAAACAGATTGCTCTGCTACTCCATCGCTCAGGACTCGAGAGGGTCAAAGGGACTCGGCCACTCGGGAGATGAGGGTCGTGTCCGCGGGGGCTGGCAGCTTGCGCGAGGACGTCGGCGGACCTCCGTGGCCTATCCCTCGAGCGCGAGGACGCCGGGAGAGGAAGGGAGCGGAAGCGGAACTGCGGACCAGAGCGGCGGCGGCTGGGGTGGATGAAAACGGTCGGGAAGATGTCTTACCATTGTCGCTCCTGTATTTTTTTTTTCCGGAAACGGAAACCGAAACGGGAACGGGAACTCGGACGGGAAACAAAACTGGTATTACGGATATCGGGAACGGAATATTTTGAACGGAAACACGTCGATTATGATCGGAAAGCGGTAACACAAAACGGGAACCGCCGCTAGCCCCTTCCTTGCCCATGGTCGGTACGGGGCGATGGCATGCGCGGCGTGAGCGCTTCGGCGCTCACGATCGCCAGGCGGCGGGCGACCTCGCTCTCGTAGAGAGGTGGAGGTGGCGCCACACGGGACGGGAGTCGCCGAGTCGGGGACTCGGGGATAGCGGATAGGGTTTAGCCGTCGTTTTTGGGACGGACGGGAGGGAGTAGCGGACGGGAGTGGGCTGGGCTTGTGGCGCGGGGGAGCGGGAGGTTTCGTGAGCTGCATTAATCAATGGGCTGAATATGAGGTTTAGGTGTACAAAATACGGGAATACCGCCGAAATTTTCCTGCCCGAATACGGGAATCGTGAATACGATCGGGAAAATTCCTTAACTGATTCCGTTCCCGTTCCTGCCTAAAATACGATGTCGGTTTTCCCATTTCTGGTTTTTCCTACAAAAACGGTATGCGATCGTTTAATGTGGTATACGGTATCGGTCGGTACGGGAATTTCCCGTCCCATTTTCATCCATAGGTGAGAGTGAGACCGTGAAAAGTGAATGGTTTTTAGGGTTACGGTGTCGCGGGGATGCGGGCTTCATTTTACTACTCGATTCGGGCTCTCTAGCGCGGGTCTGAAATTGTGGCGGGCCAGTTTAAAACTCACGAAAATTTTCAAAAGGACGTGTATTTGGGCTTTAGTGGGCCAGTAAGAATTTGTTTATTGGCTGAAATTTTAGTATTAAATATATTTCAAAACTATTCTAATAATATATTTGGTATCATAAATAAGGTATGTTTTTATAAAGATTCGATCAAATTTAAAATTATTTGATTACGGAGAAACGAGAGCTGTATTTTTTAATGAAAGGAGTTAGTGTTATTTTTGTCATGCTTTCATGAACTTTTTGCTTGGCTCTCCAAAATTGAGAAAGATTGGTGGCTTGGGGCCTTGATTAGATATACTGAAAACAACATATTTCACATAAATACTACGGAACAAAAATAAAAGTAGATTTATTTTACATAAATAAATATGTGAAACCAAGGTTATAGTAAAGTTTTAAGTAAAGGAGATAGAGTTTATTGTTAATCACCTCATATTCATTTTACGGTGAAAACTTATTTGGGGATTTATTAGAATGTAGTTTGGTTACGTATCAAATTTAATTTTTTTTACGAAAGGGCCTGTAGCCTACGTAGCACTTGATGCCCTGGGTTCGACTCCATGTGGGAGTGCCAGGATTTAATGGCTTTATACTTTTAGTGGTAGTTGATGTTCTTGTGGTGACTTCACCAATTTCGAGGATTTGACAGTTCAGTCTTCGAAGATGCTCATAGGGATAGGTTTTACGAGCGTGTGTTAATAGGGGTAATTGTGCATGCGTTATGAGCATCCTGTGTTGTACTGTGTAATTTAAAAAAAAATCTAATACGTCCGTGCATTGCAACGGAAGACAAAGGATATCAAACACTCATGGAAAATGAGGATATCAACACAGAACTATCGAACCTATTTTTGTTTTATCCTTTCCAGTAGTGGAGCCACCGCTCGGCACCTGCGCGATCGCCTGGGCTCATCGGCAAAATAAAGGGGAAAATTTTAGTTGTAGTATAGAAAATATTATATCCTTTTTGATAAATATTTTTTGCACAATGAGAATAGCACCGGCTTCCAAATTTTCTGGCTCTACCACTGATCTTTCCTTTAAATTTTTAAAGCTATAGTTTATTTTAAGATGACTATAACATCCACAATATATAAGCTAATGTTGGGAATAATATGACAATGTCTTATTAAATGTGTAGACTAAACTGTACAACGAACTGCTCAATATTTTAGTTATCGGGGTGAATCTAGTCCCAACATTCGCTCAAATGCCTCACGCCCACCCTAATCACTTACCGAAGTTATGCATATGGACCACTAATCACTGACCATGGTTATGAACCCACGATAAGACATGTCCTCTCGAAGATCTTGACAGATAAACAACTTTATGTTTTTCATTTCTTTGTTGCAAGGATTCCGATAGGTGTGTTGATGTTGGATTGTGATCCACATCACACACTAGCAAGGGCTAGCTCGCCCGAGGTTTCAATCAACCTTCAACACACAACAAAGAACTCCTGGGATCGACTAAACCGATCTAGATACATGTTAGACTGATGTAGAGCATGTCCAACACTGCAAAAGTCTAGGAACGCCTCCGGGAGGACTCGTCGGGGAGGAGCTCGCCTAGGGTTGTTCTAGGACCAACAAGGCCGCCTAGAACGCCATTGGATCTCGCAGAGAGATGCAACAAATAGCAAAGGGGATGGAAAAGGGTAAAAATAAGGTAATAGATGTGAAAAAAGACGATTGAATAGATGAGAACTCAATCGGCCATGATCCTCTCATGTATATAGAGGGGGTGGTCTTATCCCAATAGAAAACCCCTCCAAACCTTATTTTCCAAGTTTCCCACGAGTTTGGAAGAACCCAAATCGGAATCTAAAAGTCAGATCCAAAATAGGCCCATCGGTAGTACTGGTTTGGGTCGGTAGTACCGACGTCCAGGTCTTCGCCAATTGTTGGTAGTACCGACGTTAACCGATACTACCGGTGTTGAGGCATTTTCTTGAAAAGCATAACTCTCCCATTCGGACTCCGAATTGAACGTTCTATATATGTTTTTTTACCATCTTGACGAGAGGAACACAATGGTGAGGTCCATTTCTTATTTTGACAACTTCACAAAATGGATATTTTTGGTTGTCAACAGGTTGCAAGGTGACACCCAAACTAGAATGAAGGCTTGCATGGACCCATCTTTTGATATAGATATAGATATAGATATAGATATTAAGTAAGTAATATATGTTTAAGCGTTCTATGTTTAAGAAAATAGAACAAGGTTAAGCATCCTATGTTTGTGCCATATTTGTTTAAGTGAATACAAGTATATCACATATGTTTAAGTGTGAAATGTGTTTAAGTGAATAATAAGTTCAAGTGAAGGCGTGTTGGTGAACTTAACAAAAATAAACAGTAAACATATGTGTCATGTGTGCCATATAGATTTACATATATCTATCATATATATGTTTACATTTGAATGAAGACCAAAATGAATCTAGCAAAATCCTAGCCGAATCCTAGCCACCTCATGCCCCACCGCTGTGCCAAGTCCCCCACCGAGCAAAATCCCGGCAGCCCAATTTTCCACCGCCCGCCAACTCCACCGCACCGCCGCCCAACTCCCCGCCACCCGTCCTCCCAATTCCCCCATCGCCCTACCCCCCCCCACGCTAGATTGCCCACCCTATAGAAGCTCCTCCACACGGCCACCAAAATCCCATATCTCCCTACTCCCCCACATCGCAAGACTCCTCGGCCATGCCTGGCTATTGATCGAAGTAGCAGCAGTCTGCCGGCCAAGAAGAACAGCGTCATGACGGTCCCTGCCGTGCCCCTGTGCGTCCTCCAAGCACCAGCAGGGGTGGGCAAAGCAGCAGACTGCACCGCCTCTCTCTCCCTCAAGCCACAAGAAAGACCCTCCATGCCGCCTTACTCCCTCTCCGCTCCGCAAGAAGAAGCAAGCAGCGAGAGCCGAAGAAGAGAAGCAGAGGATCCCCTGCTTAGCCACGGATCTAGTGCATGGCGGCGATGGCACTGTGTCCGCTCACGGCAAGCGTCGCACCGCCGTGGATCAGAGGGAGTTCGCCCAATGGTCAAAGGCTGACTTGTTGTCATCCTCCCCGGTGCCCTCGCAAACCAAGTGCAAGGTGAGCTTGAGCAAGGACCACCTCTCCACTACAAGTGCTCCGTGGTGCACCCCATATGTTTGACTATATTACTCAATCAGGACAATTTGATTTGCTCTTTGTTTTTTGACTGTGTACACATGTTGTTGGGTTCATAAAACTAGGATCCCTCATGGACCTGCTTCCTAGCAAAAGCTCGGCCCAGTAGACGACGTTGCGAATGACGCGCAACTCCTAGGCCGACCCAAAAACCTAACGACAGGCCAGAAGGGCGATCCAGTCTTCGACTAGAAGGCCCAGCCAAGGAGGAACCGCGCTCGCTTCCGACTCTGGCCCGCCTCTCTGACCGAAGGGCCTGGCCAAAAGAGGACTGGCGCTCACCTCCGGCTCTGGCACGCCTCTCCGACCAAAAGGCCCGGCCGAGAAGGGACGACGCTCGCTTTCGACTCCGGTCGGCCTCTCTGACCGGAAGGCCCAGCCAAGGAGAACCATGCTCACTTCTGACTCTGGCCTGCCTCTCCGACCGGAAGGCCAGGCTAAGGAGGAACCACGCTCGCTTCCAACTCCGGCCCGCCTCTCTGACTGGAAGGCCTAGCCAAAAGAGGACCAACGCTCGCCTCTGACTCTAGCTTGCCTCTCCGACCGAAAGGCCTAGCCGAGAAGGAACGACGCTTGCCTTGGACTCTGACTCGCTTCTCCGACCGAGAGTACATCAAACCTATGCTTATAGCTCTTCTCCGACCGGGAGGTCAGAGCCGACTAGGAAAAGACCGACCGGGGACGCCCACTCGGTGAAGACCTAGGAAAAGGACAGAGCAAGTAAGGCAGGGTGCTCCTAGTCAACCGCAATATCAAGGGCCATACCATGCACACCTACGGGACAGTACTGTCAGGCCATGTCAGGAGGATGCACCGTAACCTTCTAGACATGAACAATGTTGTGGGCGCCAACATTTATCCTACAGTATGGTAGGCATCGACATCTGCCATACCAGAAGAAGACGATGGAACCTACCACATGCATCTGAACATCAACAGTGTTATGGGTGCCGACAAACTGCCTTGTACCCGACTGTTGGTTTTGGT